ATTTTTGGGTGCTAGGACACGATGGGGCACTATTAGGGTTGCCAAATCTAAATCGCCCGGGAGCGGGGGGCTCCCGGACGATGTCGGGGTGGTGCGCGCACGCGCACGCCGGGTGCACATCACCCGGAAGTGACGTTGCACGCTGGGGGCGGGGTTTTCCCGGGGCCCTGATTCCGGCGCGCCGGAAATCGGGGCTCCGAAGCGGGGGATTCCCCGCCCCCTGGCTGCATTTGGCAGCCCTAGGCACTATTCTAGGAAATGCCAGAGACTCTACAGTAAAAACCATAGAGTTTCTGGTGTTTCCAAGAGTGAAATGAGATCACTTCTGCGTTCCCCCCAAAGTGGTGCCACACCACACATAATGCCAACTTTTAAAAAAAGAATTCTTCTGCTGCTGCTTGGATAGGATTGCCAAGTCTGATTTTCGCCGCAGCGAGGGACTCCCGGCTAGCGGCTGGAGTGCACATGCGCCGCATCCACATCACTCGGAAGTAACGCGACCACGCCGGGCATGCTGGGGGCGGGGCCACGACCAATGTTCCCTCTAAGCTGCGGAGTCTTGTGAGCAAAAATTCTACTTTGTGAGCTACTGGCATAAAAGCTGTGAGCGAGTGATTTGGCTACTGCATAAATTAGTTTGCTCTGGAGCCAGCCTTCCAGAGCAGAGACAAAAATCTGTGAGCCGGAGGCTGAAAAATGGTGAGCTAGCTCACACTAACTCAGCTTAGAGGGAACACTGGCCACGACCATCCGAGGGAAAAACATAGAGTTTTCCCTCGGATGACCGTGGCCCCGCCCCCAGCGTGCCCGGCGTGGTCGCGTCACTTCCAGGTGATGTGCACATCGGGGTGGGGTTCCCCCCCAGGGCCCGATCTGCCGGCGGCGGGGAACAGGCCTCTGGGGCGAGGGTTTCCCCACCCCCGAAGGGGACTTGGCTAGCCTATGCTTGGAGCAGCAGTGGGAGGTCTCCCACTCCAGCAGGAGACCTGGCAACCATGTACCCAGTGGCGTCCTGACCCTCAAGCAATCACAGGGCTCTTCCTCTTCCCCGTAAACTCCTTGAGATGTGGACAAAATTCAGAAGCCGGAATGCCACACTCGTTTTTGCAACATGAAGCGCATCCTCCTCCAACCGGCTTGGAAGTTCCATTACAAAACGCCCTTTCATCTTTACATCTGCAGCACCCTCCAGAGTTGAAAAATCTCATGAAATTGTATTCTCCTTCATCGAACGACAGAAACACTAACCCAAACCACACAGTCATCCTCAACATTATGCTTCTATAAATATAGGATGCTTTTTTAAAAAATTGAAACCTTGACAACTAAGAGAAGGAGAATAATTCTATTGTCTGGGAAGGGCAGAAGTACAATGAAACATTTGGAAGGCACATAGATTACGGTGAGAAACAACAACACTACTTTGCAGCTCTGGGATTGGGCTGGAGGTCTGGCACTCCAGCTTTTCAACTGTGTTGGCAGAGTAATTTACACAGCAACAGTGCACAACCAGATTAAAGAGAAGATGGTGGCTCAAGTGGTTAAGACGCTGAACTGCAGGCTGTGAAAGGTCAGTAGTTCAGCAGTTCGAGACCCGAGTGTGCCGCATGACGGAGTGAGCTCCCGTCTCTAGTTCCAGCTCCTGCCAACCTAGCAGTTCGAAAGCAAGAAATTGCAAGTAGATAAATAGGTACCACTTCAGTTTGAAGGTAACAGCGTTCCATGCGCCTTGGTGTTTAGTCATGCCGGCCACATGACCACGGAAACGTCTTCGGCCACCGCTGGCTCTTCGGCTTGGAAACGGAGATGAGCACCGCAACCCTAGAGTCGGACTCGACTGGCTTTCGAGCAAGGGAACCTTTACCTTTACCGTTAAAGGTTTATTTAGGAATTAACATACTTGATAGGAAAGAGGAGAAACAGAGAGAGGTTCCTAACTACATCTCTAGCTGAGAGAGAGGGTAAAACTGAGTGTGGCACTTCCAAAAAGAAGGGGGAAATTGCCTTGAGAGTAGCAATCTGGAGACAGACAAGGAACGGCACTTAACAGGAGAGAAGGTGCTGACCTCACTATCCTATCTAATTGTCTTCTTCCAGGGTCATCGTCTTCTTCAGTTTGGTGTAGTGGTTAGGAGCGCAGACTCTAATCTGGGAGAACCAGGTTTGATTCCCCACTCCTCCACACGCAGCTGCTGGTGTGACTTTGGGTCAGTTACAAGTTTTTCAGAGCTGTTCTCTCAAGAGCAGTCCTCGAAAGAGCTCTCTCAGCCCCACCTACCTCACAGAGTGTCTGTTGTGGGGAGGGAAAGGGATTGTAAACCACTCTGAGACTCCTTTGGGTAGTGAAGATTGGGGTATAAATCCAATCTCTTCTTCTTTGTACACCAGATATTGTACACTAGAACTTGAGAAGGGGTGCTGGAAAAAGCAAAGCCCACAAGATTTATCTTGTTACGTAAACCTTCAAACTTTTCTCAAGAAAGTGGCTTGGTGAGTACATCTGGAGTCATTTCATCCATAGGACAGTATTCCAACTCAACAAGTCCTGCTTCTTGCATGTTTCTTACTAGGTGATGCTTCACATCCATGTGTTTAGCTCTTAAGTTGATCTTAAGTTTCATGCACGCTTGGTGGTCTTCAAGGAGCTGTACTGATTTGGGTTCCTCTATCCCAAAAGTCTTGCATTAGTTGCAGTATCCGTTTCAGCTGTCTGCAGCTTCAGTTGGCGTCACAGCTACAGTTTCTTGCTTCCTTCCTGCTACTCCAGCTGACTTCCCCGGCACCATAGAAGAATAAATGTCCACTGGCTGACTTTCTGTCTGTAGTATCTCCTGCCTGGTCTGCATCCATGTATCCCACTAATTGTATCCCACTAGTCTGGGATTGTCACTTGTTGGTAACTTTAGTCTCAGATGTGCAGTGCCACACAGGTACTTTGCAAGTCTTCTGACTGCATTCCAGTCCCTTTTGCGTGGTGGTTCCATCTTTCTGCATGACATGCCCACAGCTGCTGTGATATCTGGATGCATCAATGTGTTTAAGATGATAGTGAGCAAAGCTGCAGTTTTTAGAGGATCCATATCTATGTCCTCAAGCACTGCAGGAAGGCACTGGCCATTTTTAGAGAGTGTCGCCTTTCTCCTGCCTCACAGTGTAAACAAGACACAGAGTAGGGAAGCTGGGATGTAATGATGGGTCTAAGCAGGGCTCTTTTTGTAGAAAAAGTCCAGCAGGAACTCATTAGCATAATAGGCCACACCCAACACCAGAAACTCATTAGCATATTGGGCCACACCCCTGACAGCACAGCTCATTAGCACATTAGGCCGCACCCCCATGTTACCAGAAGTGTGGTTATCCAGCCACACCCACCTTTTGCTTGTTATTCTGTTTACCTTGTTTGTTGTCAAAACCCAGGGCTTTTTTTGTAGCAGGAACTCCTTTGCATGTTAGGCCACACCACCCTAATGTAGCCAATCCTAATGATTTTTGCTGTTGGGTGTGGCCTATTATGCTAATGAGTTCCCGCTGGGCGTGGCCAACTTGGGAGCCAGCCGGAACTCCGTTCCTGTCCAAAAATAGCCCTGGTCTAAGAGGGAAAGGGCCAAAGGAAAAATAACTCACTTCTAGGAAAAGTTGCCTTAAAAAGTAAAGACAAAAGGGCAGCACAAAACTGGTACTTTTGCTTAAGCAAAATGCGCTTCCCGAGACTCACCTCTTCTCTTAACTGAAGATGCACGAGGGAGACCAAACTTTTACAGGCCATGTGAGACATCAGCTTATCAGGCGTGCGTAACAAGAAAATCTGCAACAAGCGGGGAAAGGGGGCAAATTTCAGATGAGAGCTGCCGAATGATTATCTGACTCTTAAAATACTGCTGCTTTAAAAAAACCCCAAAAACTTACCAATTTTGTGTCAATGCTTGCTTCTTTCACAAGAGTTCTAACAATGCCAAGATACTTCTGTTTTATTCCCGCTTCCATCCCTGGGTTCTGCACTTTGGTGATCATCATCTCCATCAAGGTTAACTGAAGCAGAGTTATTTCCCGCGGGCGGTTCATGTTTTCTGTTGTATCGGGTTCCATATTTCTCTCGTGGGATAGCGAATCCGAAGCAGCAGAGCCCCCAGTGCTCGGAGCATCAGAAGAAGACAGACACTTGCCTGTATGAGACTCCCTGGTTTCTGCTGACAAACGTTGGGACGCAGTGAGAGGATCCAGAAGAGCAGCGTAACTGTGACTATCTTTTGTTAATGGGAGACCTGTCAGTATCTCATCATACATCTGCTGCAGGAGATGAAAGCGAGTCCCCATTGTGGGAAAGTTCAGTATTTTCAAGAATTCTTTATGCTTTCATGAGGTCACTTCTCAGGTGAATAATGTTCCCCATTAAAAGAGAACCATTAGAACTTTGTATGCTGTTCCACCCCTTAATGTACCTGGATGGGGGGGAAAGACATTGTATAAGATCAGCAGCATGAACTTCTTCAATTAGTAAGAAACCCAAATAATTCAGACTAGAAAGGAACATTCTATTTAGCTTTTGACAAAACAAATGTCTTACTACGTCCGTGGATCCCCCACGCCCCAGCCAAAAGAACCAAATTACACTTGGGAAGAATACATTGCCGCCAAAAGAATAAAATATTTTGGGAATATATTAAATACTGAACGTCCACCTTCCTCTGAGAGTGTCTAGGCACCAAAAAAAGAGTTGAAAATTCAAAGCTGCACCCTTTCCTAAGAGCTTGTTTGGCGGTGCACAGGGATGTATGGCATACTAATAAACCACGGAGGAAAGAGGGCCAACAGAACTGAACAATGAAAAGTTGAAGGAGTTGGTTTTTACCCTGAGGAGTGCCAAAGATGGCTCACAATCTCATTCCCTTCCTCTTGTAGTATGAATGGGAATATAAAGATTTTTTTATATAGGTTTTTTTCTTCTTGATAGTTTATATTCATATTTTTTCTTGGTTTTATGGATTTCTCTTTTAAGTAATATTTTATTAGAATGTAAGAAAGGCCTGTTCTATAGAAGGATTTCCCCTTGTAGGTCTGATATTGCTAGCAGACAAGATAATAGGTACAAAGTTCATGATTCTGTAGTTCTTAGGGTTAGGTTAAGTAAAATGGCATTTTAGGTTAGGTTAAGTAAAATGGCAAAACCTTGCCCATTATCATTTTAGGTTAGATTAAGTAAACACTTAGATTTTATGTAGGTACATCTCTCTTTACATGTGGCCAATCAGAAGATTATTATTCAAATTACCATTGTCTTTTATAACCAATTATGCTTTTTAAATATTGTTTTCTTGATGATGTCAGTCCATGTATAAAAGATCATGTATTTCCTGCATCTGAAAAGAAGAAAATATATTTCCTGAATATGCTGAGAAGAAAACAGTCAATTTTTGATGAGTTATTTGGTCCAACTGTTTTCCTGTTAATTGAAATAAAACATAGATCTTCCTCCTCATTTGACTTCATTTTTGACATGGAACCTAATATGTACAACACTCTCCCCACAACAGGCACCTTGTGAGGGAGGTGAGGCTGAGAGAGCTCTGAGAGAACTGTGACTGGCCCTAGGTCACCCACTAGGCTTCAAGTGGAAGAGGAATGGGGAATCAAACCTGGATCGCCAAATTAGAGTCTGCCGCTCTTAACCACTGCTCCAAAGAAGGAGCACATGAATCTGCCTTCTGCTGAGTCAACTCCTTGGTCCATCAAGGTCAGTATTGGAAGCAGATCTCCAGGGTCTCAGGCAGAGGTCTTCCCCATCATCTACTACCTGATCCCTTAATCAGAGATTAAACCTGGAACCTTTCTCAATATCAAGGAAAGCTCTTGCACATCTCAACAATACTGTACTAAAGCAAGTTCAGCACAGGATGTGTCTCTGGTTGTATAATCCCGTCTTGATGTTTAGAAATTTCTTCTTCTTGTTGTGAGATAGCTTGTTCCAAACCAGCTATTGCCTTGGTTTTAAGTTGTGCCGTTTCTTTGGCTTTCCCTGTCTCTTCTGCAATTATCTCCAGCTTGTGATTTGTTTCTTGTAGCTGTACGCTAATTGGGTCTATCATTGTTGCTACTTTGTCCGTCCAGCGTTCTAAAGTGTCTGTTATTAATGTTTCAAACAACAAGATATCATCAGATTTCTTTGAAGCAGAGTATTTACTGTTGAAAATAACAACAACAACAATAACAACAACAATAACAAAGCAACAACAATAACAACAACAACAACAAAGCAAGTTCAGCATAGGAAGCTGCTTCATACCAAGTCACACCATCTGTCAGTATTGTCCACTCTGACTGACAGAATCTCTCCAGTCTCAGAGAGGGGCAGGTCTTTCTTAACACCTCTTCCCCAAAGACCCTTTACCTGGAGATGCCAGGGATTGAACCTGGGGAGCTTTTGCATGAAAAAGCAGAGGCTCCGCTACTGAGTCACGACCCCACACCCTGGATGGGATAAAAAAGTATTTCACTGTTGGAACTGGGGGGAACTTGGTTTGATTCCTCTGAAATGTGATGCTGAAGGAAAATGTTACCAATTCCCTCCTGCACCCAGTCAGAGATCCTGAACTGACACTTTTTTTGCAGCTCCGCTGGACAAAATGTTCGGCAACAGAACTCTCCTGCATTTATCTTATTAAAGGCAGATTAACAACCTTTAATTCTGATAACATAAAAGAATAAGGGGTTGTGTGCAGCCTTTGAATATAACCAGGGGTTGTTTCATAGAAAAAGAGCTAGGGGAACTCATTAGCATAACTCATTAGCATATGCCACACCCCCTGACATCAGGGGCCCGGCGGTGGACCTGCAAGGCCAGCGGGAGTGCGAGGAAGCCCCGCCAAGGCCCTCCCTGGCCCCAGGCAGGCAGGGGTGCGGAGAGGTGGGGAGGAAGCAACTTACCCTCCCTCTTCTCCTGCCTCCTCCTGGCTGAATGAGGGCTGGAAGCGGGGCAGCCGGAAGCAGGGGCGGGGCTTCGTCATGTGCCCCGCCCCCCTGCACCTCACCCAGGGGAACTGTGTTCCCCCGCGATCCCCCCCGAAATGACCTCTGAATATAACCAGCAAACCAGATAGAACTGCAGAAACGTTTATCTTTTATTGAGACAAGAGGTTAGTTTCTTTAGTGAGCTGGACAGAATGGAATACAAGCATGAAAAAAGGTTCAGGTGGGTAGGCACGTTGGTCTGAAGCAACAGGACGAAGTGCACGCACTGTCACGGCAGGACCAGGGGGCGTGACGCAAGCAAGCAAAAGTCCAGGAACAGTCCGAGGTCAAGCCGGGCAAACCAGGTAGCAAGGTTCAAGCAGGTTTAAATCACAGTCCAAAAGCAGGGTCAGACATACCAAAGTTTCAAGTCCATAAATCACAACGATACCAGAGGAGTCAGAGATGCACGCAGGGTCAACAAAGCCGAAGGTCAAAAGCCAAGGATCAAGCCGAGAAGAATTCCACAAGGTCTGGAGCAGAGATGCAAGGATTCAGGTCCTGAACAAACGACGTTGCCAGCACAAATGACTGCTGGCAACAGACTTGCATATATACAGTGCTAGCTAATCAACTCATTAGCTAGCCAGGAGTGAGGACAGGATCCTGTCAGTAATCAGGGCTAAGAGATCTTCTGGCACGCATGCGTGCATTCTGCCTTCGCTCTCTCAGCTGTTGTCTTCTTACATTCCTGAGCCTGGTTACAGGTGGAGGCGAGTCTGATGATGAATTACTGGGCTGCAGCAGAGACTGATCCCTTGCAGGTGTTCCCTGGGAGGCTCTATCCTCCTCACCACTTAGATAGCTTTCAGCTACAGGATCCAGTCTTTGCCTTTCTGCTGCAGTACTGTCCTCAGGAGCCTGTTCAGGGTCCTCAGGAGCCTGTTCAGGGGCATCAGCAGGGGCAGGCATGACATCAGCAGGGGCAGGCATGACACGCACATGGAAGCTTATACCCAGAATCAGGGCTATTTTGGGGCAGGAACGCACAGGAACGGAGTTCCGGCTGGCTCCCAAGTTGGCCAAGCCCAGCAGGAACTCATTAGCATAATAGGCCACACCCAATAGCAGAAACTCATTAGGATTGGCTCCATTAGGGGTGTGTGGCCTAACATGCAAAGGAGTTCCTGCTACAAAAAAAGCCCTGGGTTTTGACAACAAACAAGGTCAACAGAATAAGAAGGGAAAGGTGGGTGTGGCTGGATGGCCACACTTCTGGTAACATGGGGGTGTGGCCTAATGTGCTAATGAGCGGTGCTGTCAGGGTGTGGCCTAATATGCTAATGAGTTTCTGCTGTTGGGTGTGGCCTATTATGCTAATGAGTACCTGCTGGGCTTTTTCTACAAAAAGAGCCCTGCCCAGAATTAAACTCTATTGGTCTTAAAGGTGCCACTGGACTCAAGAATGAAAAAAGCTCACTCTACAGCAACTATGAAAATTAACGCTAAAATTATCAAAGTACTGAGCACTGCATTTTAGCAAGTAATAGTTTTAAATGCAAATCAGTTTTTAGTTGTTCATCTCACTGCTTGTAGGATAATCAAACAGACAAAACTATCCACACAAAAAATCTGACCTATTCTGTTCTGAAACTTATCAGTTTTTATCTCATCTCTAAACTTTGTCTATCATAATCATGTGATATTACTCAAATAACTGATTTGTTCATAACTAATAAGAGACAAGAAACATGAGTGCTAACTAGCTAGCATAACCATGTGATCTAATATTGATAACTGATTGGTTCTTAACTAGATAAGCATCATATGTGCTAACCTGCAAGTGCATAGGAGATATACCTGGTAAAGCAAGATAAGGCCAATCTCAACCTTCAGCCTACTTTTCCTGTAACTAGTTCAACTAACTGTCTAAAATAAAAATACTAGAAGTAAACAAAATTTGTGGACAGTTAAAAGTGCTTGAGCTCTCGATTAATTTGCAAATTTAGCAAGAAAGGCTTAGTGATGTCACATGGACCACCAAAATGACAAATAAGTGGGCTCTAGATCAAATCAAGGAGCTGCGGTGGCTCAAGTGGTTAAGACGCTGAACTGCAGGCTGTGGAAGGTCAGTAGTTCAGCAGTTCGAGACCCGGGTGCCGCATGATAGAGTGAGCTCCCATCTCTAGTTCCAGCTCCTGCCAACCTAGCAGTTCGAAAGCAAGAAATTGCAAGTAGATAAATAGGGACCACTTCGGTGGGAAGGGAACAGCGTTCCGTGCGCCTTGGTGTTTAGTCATGCCGGCCACATGACCACGGAAACGTCTTCGGACAGCGCTGGCTCTTCGGCTTGGAAACGGAGATGAGCA